CGATATATTTTGTACCCTGATATGACTGTATCCCATTGATTGTCCTCATGTCACCAAGTTTCTGTGATGCCTATTATATCAATATCCTCCTTTAAAAGAGGCACTCTGGTTCATGCATCTTATTATTTAGACTGTTAACATTTGTGTATAAGCACTTTAAAAATTTGTCACTTTTTATCTGTCTTCCATTTCCTGATGTGTTAGACCTGATGTGTTTGATTGTGTCTCATCTGATCTGACCCATACTTCCATCCTCTCCTCCTGACTAGAACATAAAGCATCTCTATTAATAGATCCTCCCCTAAGAGATGTATCTGTCCAGTCCATGTGCTCCTCTGCTCCCGTTGGCTTTTTCACAGCCTTTAGTTTAAAAACTGCTCTACAACCTTTTTTAATGTTAAGTGCCAGCAGTCTGGTTCCATTATGGTTTAGGTCAAGCCCAATCCTTTCTGCATAGGCTCCCCCTATCCCAAAAGTTTCCTCAGTTCCAAATAAATCTAAACCCTTCCTCTCTACACCATCATCTCATCCACGCATTGAGAGTCTGAAGCTCTGCCTGCCAACCTGGTCCTGCGTGTGGAACTGGAAGCATTTCAGAGAACACTACCACAGAATTCCTGGATTTCAATATTTTTCCTAAATTTGGCCTCCAGAACCTCTCTCCTACCCTTCCCTTCCTGGATTTCAATATTTTTCCTAATAGCCTAAATTTGGCCTCCAGAACCTCTCTCCTACCCTTCCCTATGTCATTGGTACCTCAGTGCAAGAGGATACCGCAACCTCAACTGGAAGGAGAGTCCCAACTATGGGATCATTTCTCTCTGCTCCAGTTGACTGTTCTCCTTCCCTGCTATCTCATTATATAGATTCATGAGTTTTGACTGTAGAGATCAAAAGTCCTAGCATGCAATTCTGCACTTAGATTTAAGCAGTGACTCTCTGAAAAAGTACTCTCTAGTGTGGTCTGTTAAAACAAAGCAAAGAATTATCGTCAGTCCAGCATTGTTCTGCTGTTGTGCAACAAGGATTCCATCAGATTACATTTCCTATGAGTCACCTGCATGAGGAGGAGACTCTTGTGTTTAGTCCCTGCCACAACACAGAGACTTGTCATTCTCATACACATACTTGCAATAATTCCCCCAATGCTACATGGACATTATGGAACAAGTATTGAAAGGAGAATGCACCCCTTATTTTGTTAGGCAGGCGGCAAAGTAGCACCTGCAGCCAACAGAAGAAGGAGTTAGCAGGCGGGTGTAGGAATTTGTAGGAAACTCCTGTAAACTGGTCAAAGAGTAGCTTTATTAGAAGTGAAAAGGCAGTTGTGCACAATATCCTTTTTGAGTGGAGGAAGGGTGTCAATAGACAATCAATCCAGAGTAATTCTCCGACTCATTAATTCTCTCCCTCCTTCCACCATTTCCTGTTCATTAACAACCCTCTCTCCTTTCCCCCATTTCCTTTCTCTGGTATGGGTATGTTACTCACATTCAATCATTGTATTGCAAGTGGGGGGAGAGCGAGTGTTGAAAGAAAAGTGTAGAATTGGTCCTCACATAACCTGGCCACTCTCACCCAATTCATCCAACCCCCCTCTCTTACTGAAACAAATCCTTACCTCTAATAAGCAATTTACACTTGCTCATAAAAATAAGTATGTCAGCTTAAGGAAGGTACTTTGCCCTCTAGTCAGAGTTTACCTCAATGCTGTTTATTCTGTAAATAAACCTTGTTTTATCCAAAGGAGATATCTCACCTAACTATACTTTACCCTCATTTCTTAGCAGAATCAGAGCCTCAAACTAACAGTGCTTCCCTTGATATATTTATCTTCAGTTTCACATAACTGCAAAGAGTTCCAACTAAAAAATGTTTCCGATCTGTTCTTACCTAAGAGGGTATAAATAGAGTAAGCCTTCTGGCAATGGAGTACTCTATGCTTCTTGTACTTTGAACTTTCACTTCCAAAAATTATGACGGAGAAAGTAAAAAAACAAAAAAAACCAATTGTATCATTGAGGACAAATGGACCTGATCCTCAGTCCCAAAGGCAATATAAAGCTGATGGATTACAGTCAACACTTCAAGCATTTTTTCCATCTTTATGATGTGGAGTCTACTGTGCTTTCATTGTGTCAGCTCCCCTCTTTAATTGCGTTTTGATGGAAACATTGCACTGGGCCACAAATGAACTGAAATAGGTTCTAAACATTCCCAACAGCTGCTTTTTGTTGTGTATGTGGAAACAACGGTAAAGGCCATATAGTTAGGCTTCTGTGCCTACTTCTGGCAGCAAGGGACACACAGACAGCCCCTGGGGAGATATAAATGCTAACTGGGACCACTGTCATTCTGTGCCTCATTTGACAGACTTGTTCTATCCCATGAGCATTGATGGAACAGATAGTCTTTGCTGCTTTTATTACAGCAAGGCATAAGTATCATTCATGTGCAAAAGGGTCTAGGGGTTTTGATTTGGAGTAGAAGGAATGGTTTATTGCTTTTGATATTTTTTTTCTTTTTTGTGCTGTAAAAACAGGCCTCGCCAAAGAGTTTGCAGAGCCCAAAGTGGCACTATGCAACCTTACCTTTCCCTAAGGCTGGGCCTATGTAAAATGTTACTAGGACATCAGTCAATTCAAAGCATCTTATGCTTGGAGTGCTCACATTTAAGATTTTCTTTTTCTTTTGGACTGATAAGCAGTTTCTTTTTTAAATAAATTCTTCCTTTGTGAAATCAGTCAGACATTTTCCCTCCAAAAGATTCTAAAGCTGGAATGGGTGGGGGGATTACCTATGAAAGAGTAGATATGCAGCAAATTGTCATATGCCATCACACAAGCCATATATAAAAAGAAACTCTGATTTTTTTTCTAACTAGGTTGTTCTTATAGGCATGGACTTCATCACCAGTTTGTTAAACTAGCCAAAACAATTACCGCCTTTAACCTCTAGGTCAGTGGTTCTCAAACTGTGGGTCACACCCCCATTTTAATGGGGTCACCTAGACTGGCATAGCTTTAGTCCCTGCCCAGGACCAAAGCTGAAGCCAGAGGGCTTCAGCCTTTGGCAGTAGGGCTCAGGTTATAGGCCTCAGGTTCCCCATCCCCTCCCTTCTTCCCTCCCTCCGCCCAGAGCAGTGAGGCTCAGGCTTCAGTCATGGCATCTGGGATAGCGGGGCTCAGACAGGCTCAGGCTTCGGTCCTCCCTCCTGGGGTCATGTAGTAATTTTTGTTGTGAGAAGGGGATTGTGGTACCATGAAGTCTGAGAAATCCTATTCTATATCATTGATTAAAGTCTGACCCAGGTTAATGATGAATACATATTTTTATAACCTGGCAGTTTTTGTCTGGTAATGTAAAATGCCTTTGAGAATCTTAAAAGTACTCTATAAAGGTGGGTAAGTTTTATGATCCCTATTTTACAGGTAGAAAATGGCACAAAGAAGGGGAATAATCTGTCCAATGTCAGACAGCAAATCAGTTACTAAAACTCAGATTTCCTGTCTCCCAGGGCCATTCTTACCATAATCTCCAGTGGACTTCAGCATGATACACACTAATGTTTGTCTCTGTCCTCTAGTCCATGTAAAACCACCAGAATTTTCATAGTACAGAGGAATTCCTGACTAAAAAGCAAATTATTTACCATACACTAAAATAGCATTACTTTTTCATAAGAGCAAGCGTGTTTTATTGCTCCAGCAGTGTCATTGTCATTTATTGTCCAATGCCATTTCATTTATAATCTAGTTGGCCGAAAGAGCTATGTTTCACTCCCACGTTATTTCCTATGTTTAAACCAGATATGGGAATCCTGAACAATTTGTAGAAAACTGGGTTACAGATTGTCTCTGGAACTCATAATATTACTCTTGGTCTGCACTTAAAAGTTATATTAGTTTAGCTATATGGGCAGCAATTTGGGAAAAATAAACACTCTTTATCAACATATCTATGCTGACAAAACCCCCAGTGCAGATGTGATTATGTCAATGGAAGAATGCTCCTCTTGCTAATGTAATTCAGGGAAGCAGTGTGGCTACACTGACAGAAAACCTCCTTCTGATGGTTGCATCTACAGTAGGGGGGCTATCTGCTGAGTCGCAGCAGATACCTCTACTGACAACTGTGGGAAGCTTAAAGATCAAAGGAAGAATGTGGCTTTTATATAATATCAAAATATTTAATTAATGAAGTTAATGTTGCATTCATCATAACTCAAGGGGACAAAGTGATTCAGGGCACTTTGAGGACCATTGGTATTTTTGTTGTTTGCTAGTTGCACATGTAATCACCTGATTTGTGCACAGAATTGCAGTAATTGTGTACATGAACTGTTTGAGAATCTGTCTCTTCAAATGCCATTCTTATACCTAAAAGTTCACACTTTACCAAGATGAATTGATCTGTTAACATCTCTTAAAGCTGTTATTTCAGTCTGTCTGCAGAGTCAGGAAGATAGCTCTGTATTGCTTTTGCAGCAATGATGCTCAGATCTTATTTGGAAAGTTTTCATTGCAAGCATAGAGGCTAGAAATATAACTGTTTTTCCCCCCATAAAAGTTTGCTTTCTGCGAGAAACCCTAATCTGTTGTGATGAGTGGGCAGATGAACATCTTGAGTAGGTTAAACTCAGATCAAAGTCCTGGTATTTGACACCACTGATCTATAGTATAATGTCCTGCTAAAGATCACGGGAGCTGAATATGGCAAGTGGTTGTTGATTAGGATTTGAGGGCAGCTCGTATGTAATATGCCAGCTGCTAAAGCTACCAAGTAGTATGGGTACTGCAGTAGATACCTCAAAAGAAGCTTGTTCATCTCTCAGTTACATAGTTTAAGGTGTGTGATGGGCAGTTGTCGAGAAAGGCTAAAAAGATGAATTAGCTAAAGTAATCAAGAGAGACTTAAAGAAACAAGCAACAGACAATAGATTCCTACGTTGGTATGATCTAAGTAACACATCATTTATTGTGTTTTATTTTTTATCCTAGGTTCAGGTTCAGCGGTCGTATCCTTGGCCTTGCTCTCATTCATCAGTACCTTCTTGATGCTTTCTTCACAAGGCCGTTCTATAAAGCACTACTGAGGCTGTAAGTATATGAATGCAAGCAAACAGAGACTTGGGCCTCGATCCTGCCATGACCTCTGCAGAAGCAAACCCTTGTGGAGCTCATTGCAGGACTGGGACCTTAGTTTTCAAGTTCTTCCACTGTTTGATTTCAGGGTAGATGGGATGGAGACTTAATAATTTCCTTTGTTTTCGCCCAGAACGTGCCCTTCTTTAATATTAACAATATTGATTAAATGATTAAAAAGCATTGGAGTTAAACCTCAACTTTTGAAAATATTGGTACACATGCTTTTCATGTAGGAATATGTAGTCAGAACCATTTAAATGGGATATGGGTCAGTGAAAACCATATTTAATTGGACAGTTCACAGAGAAATACTTATTTTCTCTAAACAAAATGAGTTATCTAAAATGTCACTGGAAAAACCATAATTACCTAAGCTCCATTGTTTGGATTTTTTCACCCTAAGTGCTTGTTAGTAATGTTTACAAATGTTAACATCGATGTAAAACAGTACAGATTTCTGGCAGGTTTTGTTCTCCTTGTCTTACACAATGACAGCAAGGCGATGCCCAGTAAAGTATTACTTTTAATGCTCGTTGAAATGTTTTGATATTTTAATAGTGGTCTGTTGCTCTTTTATCAGTTTGATGCCATAAAAAAAGCCACATAAAATATATCAAAATTCAGTAGAACGAATTGAAATCTATATTGACAGATGATAACTCAGAGGAATGTTTAGCGGAAATGGTTGGTTAAATCATGATTTGAGGATTCAGTAACTCAGCCAAAGCTTAGGGATCTGTTACAGGAGTGGTGGGTGAGGTTTTGTGGTTGGCAATGTGAAGGAGGTCAGATGAGATCAGAGGTGTCAAATTCCTGGCCCTTATCCCATTTTCGACTGGCACAGTTGTGCAATCTGGCCCAGGAGTCCTGGTGGGCTGTGGGGGACTGTCCATTACCATTCCCCAAGTCCATCCCTTTCTCCCATCACCCTTCCCTCTCCCCCCATGGCACCCTGACCCCGAGGGACACACCTTTGAGGATCACTGAGGGAGTGGGGGTGATTGTGCTAGTTGCTCTGGCTGGGGTTGGCTTGTGGGCAGAAGTTTGAGACCCCTGGGCTAGATGGTCATGATGGTCCCTTCTGACCATAAGGTTTCTGAGGATTAATTTGAATTTTCAGTGAAGTCTCTTTTAATAACTTTTAAAATGCACTTTGTTCTCTTTTACTGGTATTTAATGTTCTGTGGTCCAAGCACTGTTTGAGTTTAGTGCTTTAATAAAAGGTGAATGTATAAAGTCAAAAGGGCATCCACTTTGGTCAGAGCTTTGTCAGAAGAAAACATTGTACATGTTCTGAGCAGTAAACCATCCCCACAAGGTTATATCTTCCTCGTCATTTCTCTGTCTTGCTGGACAATTAGGCCGTGTGATTTAAGTGACCTGGAGTACCTGGATGAGGAGTTTCACCAGAGTTTACAGTGGATGAAGGATAACAACATCACTGATATCCTGGATCTCACATTCACCGTGAACGAGGAGGTGTTTGGACAGGTGAGTATAGTTACCTGATAAACTATGGCAAAGTTTGGAAAACAGATTTGGAGCAGACATAGTATAACATTATGAACATCATTCTCTTTTGAGCAGTTTGATAGTACATTCCTTCAGCCTTTTTTGACTGTTCAATGCCATTTTCATCTCTTGCCCCTGTTTCCTATAAGCCATCTATTTCAATGCCTACAACTATTCTCAGAGTTTAGTGTGTGCAGTACCAGCACTGGCTTCCCTACAGGCCTCGTAAGCCACACGCTGATAAGCAGAAGGAATTAGCTAAAGTAAAACATAGTGTCACTTACTAAGGTGTTATTCAAACTGATTTATTATTTGGTGAATGTGGACAATGAATGTACTTTATATGTTGATGAGACTGAGAGGATGAGAAGAGGAGGAAAACAACTAATAGGAGGTGTACGGATAGCAGCCCTCATCACTCACTACTTTGCCTTACACCTTCCTATTAGTTGCTGTTCTTCCTATCCTCACCTCCTTTTGCATACTGGGCATGTAAATTACATTTTGTAATGCACCCACTGTAATTATGTTCCTTTACCATTTACACCTGGCTTTTGTTTTGGTTTTATTTGTTTGTCTAACTAACTTATTCAGGAGGCCAAACTCAGCTTTGAGTTACACCAATATACATTCAGAATGTCTCTGTTAATTTCAGTGGAGTATCTTTACATTTACAGTGTTGTAAAAAGTAGCATAATGGTCTTCTCCACCACCATATGTGACCCCACTGAGTATAGCCCAATGAGAGAGTGGTAGGATGCTAAAAAGAAGAAGTACGAGGAACAGTTGGAGATGGTAGATGGGTCAAAAGGGGAGAGATGAGGATAGAGAGGCAGATTTGGAAATTATTATCATGGAGACAGTAGGTAACACTGTGAGCATGGATGAAGTTGCCTTGGAAAAAAACAGAGGATGGAACCCCAAGAGAAACTTGTAGAGAGTTAGGAGCCAGATTTGGAGCCACCAAATGAGACATCAAAAGCTAAAGGATTGCCAAAAGGAAAAGGAGAAAGTGCAGGATGAGGGTTTGACTGGTAGTCTCAAAGGCAGCAGAGAGAGCAAAGAAAAATATTGTCCCAGTGACTTTCCAGACAAGTTGCAAAGGCATAAACCAGGCTGGGGGAGATCAAGAATAGAACTGGAGCAGAGAAAACAGCATGGTTAGAAATAAGGATTGTGGATGCAGAAGTAGGAGAGTCTTAAGAAGGGTAATTTCAAGGTTGAGGTTGAGTTCTGGTGTGTCTGTAGACTAGTGGAAATGAACTAGTTATTAAAGATTGATGACAGGAGAAAGAGGGTGAGTGAGGAAAGACAAGAAGCAAAATCAGAATCCAGGGGGCAGGTCAAGGGATTACAAATACGGAGGCCTCTTCAGAAGAGAGAGAATTGTTCTACATGTCCCTGCCCTTAACAGTTTCCTTGGCTTTGAGCAAAATTTTGCATGACATCCAAATGATGATGCAGTGGTTGCCTTAGGAGAAATGACAGTTTAAAACTAATGTGTAAAGGCATAGACAGACAAACAAACTTATGCAGATACATTACACAAACAGATGAGTTAAATTTGAATTTATACTAGTAGACAACTAAGGTAAGTGAAAAGGTCAATGTGAGTTGTGCACCTGCCTTTGAGGGCACCACCTGGCTGGCTACATAGAATTATGCTCTTTGCAAAGCAAAGGTGCATATCATTAAGTGAGATATTCTGTTATGCTACAAATGAGGTGGGTCTTAAAAGAGAAGATCAAGGTATCTGATAGTTCTAAAATAGATGAACACCATAGGGATGATTCTGACTCAGGTTAACTAGTATTTTACTTCACAGGCAGACCCAGTTTCTGAATGTTGGTACTGCACCAAACACAGTGAAGCCCTAATCTGGTTGGCCTCTAGGTGCCATCCCAATATAAATGTTAAATAAGTCCATCAGAAGTCTTCCATTGGCAACAGGCAAATGATCTAGCAGAGAATCCCAAGAATTTGATGTGTACAAATCTGGCAAACAACATTATAAAACTTTGCAAAATTATGTAGACTGGTTGCAAAATGAATTTTAAAGAATATGGTCGCACAACAAAGATCTTGTGGACAGGAAAGTTTAGGAAACGGGAGAATGAAACCTGGAATTATGTATTGTTCACAGATGAGTCCAACTTTAAAGAGTTGTTGGATCATTAAAGAGTGAGGATATGTTTACACTTGCTCCCTAGTCCGAAGTAGGGATGCAAATGTAGCATACCGAAGTTGCTAATGAAACGCGGGATTTAAATATCCCGCGCTTGATTCGCATATTCGCGTCCGGTCACCATTTTAAAAATCCACTAGTCTGAATTAACTTGCCACGTGTAGACGTGGTTTTCTGAAAGAAACCCCTTCCCTCAGATTAACAGTTACTCCTCATTGCACGAGGAGTAACAGTTAATCTGAGGGAAGGGTTTTCTTTCAGAAAACCATGTCTACATGTGGTGAATTAATTCAGACTAGTGGATTTTTAAAATGGTGACCGGACGCGAATATGCGAATCAAGTGCGGGATATTTAAATCCCGCGCTTCATTAAGCAACTTCGGTATGCTACATTTGCATCCCTAGTTCGGACTAGGGAGCAAGTGTAGACATACCCTGAGTGAACAATACATTACCAAAGTGTAAATCACAATCATAGCTCTATTTCTATTTGGGGGCTGTGTCTCAAACGATGGCTAAGGCAAACAAAACCTAGACAGGGCATTTGGGTGACAGCATGGAACCCTGTGTGATGGTGCGTTGGGGTCCCCCGCCTCCTGCACCCCCACAATGGCTCAGACAGACTCCACCAGCCAGTAGAATAGAGGGTGTTTATTGCTTCTCCAGGATACAGCACAGCACAGATGTAATCTGGTTACAGGGAAGGCCGAGGATGTCTCAGTCCCCCTTGAAATGGGGGAGACTGGGCCCCTAAATCCCAGCCTGTGGCCTAGGCTGCTTCCTCCATGATACCAGACAAAAACTAACTCTCTTCCAGCCCTGCCCCCCAGCCAGGGGTGGCATTCCACCTTCCTTTGTTTCTCTCCCTGGGGGGTAGCTGGTCGGACAGGTTTTTGCATAATGACTCACCCCCTGCCCTGCTGGGCCATGCTACAGACAGCAGCCAGTGGTGGTCACCCATAGCCCACTGCCCAGCATAGCAACCAGCAAGATACCCCCACTACGTCACACCCTGCTCTGCTCCACCAAGATCACAGCCTTTCCTGCACCTGGCACATGCAGGGATTATGTGTCACTGCCCTGGCAGCTGCCCAGGAAGCCTTCTGCAGCTCTGCTGTCACAGCTCTGTTCACTCACTCCTGATGGTTACCTGTGCTGCCACAGGAGCCATTCAGCAACAACGTGGCCTCCCCTCTGTCTGGGGACTTATCCTCTTTAGTGCAGCCCAGGGGTCTCTGCTCATCAGCTTGAGATTTGTGGGAGAGAAGGAAGAGGATTAGGATAAACAGGAGTATACTATATAGAGATGATAAGAAGCTGAAGATTTGTCCTGCAAAAGATTGGCATCTTTGATATACTCAGTTTTTCCTTTGTGTGTGTCTCTAGAGCAAAGAAAAACCCACAGCTGCATATTCTTAATTGTCATAGTTTGTCACAAATGACTCTAATAGTTTTATGCTACCCAAGTGAGCTTGTGGGATTCAGTCTGCTTCATTGCTTTGTAGACTTCAGGCTTGGGCTGGACCCCAGATTTTAGGACCCATGTTGCTGGACCAGCCATGGGTTTTTCCCTGGTCCTCTTGGGAGACAAAGATTAGTTACCATTGAAACATCATCTCTCCATCTTGCTAAGGAGAGGACTGCGTGGAAAACAATTGCTGGACTGATAGTTGCTGTGATTGTCCCTCCCTTTTCAGACTTAAATTTGGTTTTCTTGCCCATGTCTTCAAGTGTTTTGATGACAGGTTTCTTGATCAGGCTGAAGCATTACAAACTAGGGGCACACAAACTATTGCTACTGGTACACAACCTAGAATATGAAACTCATCTGGGCAGCAAATTTCATCTGAAAATACAGAAAACTATTATAATTGCTAGTGACAAACTGTGACAATTAAGAATATGCAATGTGAAAATATTTCATGTTAGTATATTACAAAAGAATGATATTTGACACTATGGCCACATGCTAAAGAGCTTCATCATTTCTCTTTAAAAAAAAACAAATTTGCTCATGCAAAACCAATACAAATATTTTAATACACTATCTTTTGGTAATACATTGGTGTTTGATTAACACTACATTAAAGTGTTGAAACTGACTTAAACAGCTACAACTGTAGTTGTGATCATGTTGCACTATTTTTGGAATTGTGCAAAAAAAAAAGACACATTCTCATTATGGTACTATTGTTTCACCTTGCCATAGCTGTATGGCACCACTTGACAGCTCATTATCATCATCTAACTAAACACAAGAAAAGCTTTGAAAGGATATATGATGTGGGATGGGGCATTATAGCATAGATAAACTCCAAATATTTGGTCTTTTTTGGAGAACTCTCACATGCCAGAATGGGACTAGAACAAAGTGCATTAATGAAGTGTTAATGCAGGTCATACAGGCAGCTAGTTGGCAAGAGGCTAGTGTACAGGTGTACACCCATGTTTGCTGCAGATAAACTCTTAATTGTTCTTAATTTTGTTTAATCTATCAGGTTGAATTTGAAATTAGTTTAATTACAAAGTATGTAATATTTTGCCACATCTGCCAAAGATCATATGCTCAGTACGTAGGTTCCTAAACTGACTTTTACTAATAACTTGTCTCTTTCAGACCTTAGCAATCAAACAGCATTTTAAGGATTAATTTTAGTTATGAAATTCCACAGCTATTAAGATATAGATAGATATCTGCAGAAATGGTCTGAGGTAAATAAGATGAAATTCAAGGAAGACAAATGCAAAGCACTTCACTCAGGAAGGAACAATCAGTTGCACACATCCTAGATGGTCATTTCCCATTTTGTAAGAAGTTCTCCAGGAAGAGATCTAGAGGTTATAGTAGACCACAAGCTAAATATGAGCCAACAATGTGACACTGTTGCAAAAAAAAAGCAGAAATCATTCTGGGATATATTAAGGAGAGTGTTGTAAGCAAGACACCTGTAGTAGTTCATTGGCTTTACTGTGTACTGATTAGGCCTCTACTAGGCCCAGTTCAGGGCACCACATTTCAGGAAAGATATGGTCAAATTGGTCCAGAGAAGAGCAACAAAAATTAAGGTTTAAATTAAAGGTCTAAAAAACGTGGCCTATCAGGGAAGATTGAAAGAATTGGGTTTGTTTAGTCTGGAAAAGAGAAGACTGAGAGGGGACATGATAATAGCTTTCAAGTCTCTAAAAGGGTATTATAAGGAGGAGGGAGAAAAAAATATTCCCCTTAACCTCTAAGCATAGGACAAGAGCTTAAATTACAAGGGGGGGTTAGGTTGGACATTAGGAAAAACTTCCTAACTGTCAGGGTGGGTAAGCCCTGGAATAAATTGCCCAGGAAGGTTGTGGAATCTTCATAATTAGAGATTTTTAAGAGCAGGTTAGACAGACATCTGTCAGGGATGGTCTAGATGGTGCTTGGCCCTGCCCTGCATGCAGGGGACTGGACTTTATGACCTCTTGAGGTTCCTTCCTGTTACTCACAAGAACAATTGTTGCCAAAGGGAGCATGTCACATGAGAGTTAAAACTTTTGAACCAGTAAAGGTAAGTTTTTGTACCAATGCTTAACCAAATAATTGCATTTCCTCTGTGAGATAATCTGAATTTCCCAGCACTGGAACAGATTCTCTGACCAGATCTGTTCCCTTTGCACTGGCTAGGAAGTTAGCCACAGGCATAGAGCTGGCATGCCTGTCTCCTAAGTCACCCTGCCTACAGCTTTTGGTAGGATGGGCAGGAAGAACAAGGGTGTTGAAAATGTGCTGTGTTTTGACTATTCATCAGTTGGTCAGTGCTTCGTAGGGGACTGCTGTAAACTAGCAGAAGAAGTTGGAGCATCCTCAAGGCTACAGTAGCCTGTGCTGGAGACAGGAGCTGAGTAGAGAAAATCATGGTGTCTTGATATGTCCCACTTCACCAAATGTGATGTTGATGAATCAGAGAATCTCAATTATTATCCGAATATGCAATTTGGAATGTGTTTTCCCCATGTGGTGATCTCTGTATTATTATCCTAATAAGTATTTCTATTTGATAGGTGACAGAAAGGGAGCTGAAATCAGGGGGTTCAAATACACAGGTGACAGAAAAGAACAAGAAGGAGTACATTGAGAGAATGGTGAAGTGGCGTGTGGAACGAGGAGTGGTTCAGCAAACAGAGGCTCTAGTCCGTGGCTTCTATGAAGTAAGTAACAAAGTTGCTCGTGTCTTCCACCTCTTATGAGCTGAATGTGATAAGCACAAGGGCTGCCTATTGATAATATCTTATCAGTGCACTGTGATGTGGCTAGGAAGAAAAGTTTAGAAATGAATGGAATTTTCAAAACTGTGGTACATCTAGATTGCAGGGGTACATCTAAACTATGGTACATCTAACTCTGACATGTTCAGGGAACGCATTTGCTCTTCAGCTTTTTTTGCAGAAGAGCAAACGCGCTCTTTCGGGGAGCCCTGTATACCTTGTTCTATGAGGAATAAGGGCTCCTCTGAAAGAGGAGGCTTTTCCGCCATTTGGCCCTGACTAAACAGAGCCAAATGGTGGGAAAGCCTCTTCCAAAAAAGCAATCGGAAAAAGTTACACAAATTGCAGCACACAATTTGCATAGCTTTTTCCAAAAAAAAGACTATAATATAGACTTAGCCTGTAGCAGGCAGAGGTAGTAGCATCAGGAGATGATGTGTTTAATATTAGTGATCGAGAGAGAAGGCAACGTGAACTTGATCCTGCACAGTGCTGGTGCAGAGAACTGTCTGTATATGAGCAAGATAAAAGAGTGATGAATGGAAAAGGAAGCACAGGTAAACCTGACCTTCATTACTGAGATGACTGCTGTCCAACCACAATAGTCATGTCTCATAGTAAAAGTAAAGCAGAGAAAGTTGCACGTAGCTATGCATCACATTGATTAGATGAGGGCAGAACTTAGGCCCTTGTGTCCCCTGGCATACTGGCACTTTTTACACCATGCACTCTTGCACGTAAGGGAAGGGAAACTCAAGGGAGGCTTATCAGTACCAGTGCAGAAGACCATACCTAGCACTTGATCTTATTTGCATCCACAGGAGGCTTCTAATTTGCCAACCTTGTATACCCTGCTATGTGTACCATACAAAGACTTTCAGCATCAAATCCTATAGCTGCTCAGGTTACAAAGTATAGTCAGATCCCAGCCTTTCCCACCACTTGTGCCTGCCAACTAAAGGCACAGAGCAGTGGAAGATCAAAACCAGGGAAATAAAATAAATTGCTAAGACATTGTCCTAGGTACCCTGCCGAAGTCCCCATTTATTCAAATAAAATAAGAATGTGTGGCATTAATTAGATTGGATGTGTCCTGTCAAACCACATTTCACTTTCCTTGCTTATGTCATATGCTGTACCAGGCAGGAGGCTGAGTTTATTGACTTATGAGATAAAACAATATTAACTGTTGGTATTAGCTTTGGTAACTGAAAAAAAAGGTCAGACTATAAAGCATAGTGAGCCCAATTCTTCTCTTACTAAGGTTGGTGATTTACTGGAGTAAAACTTGTGCAGACAAGAGGAGAATTAGGCTCAATATACATAATTGTAAAATTATTTTTCTTCTGGCTTTAGTTATTTAAGTTTTTTGGTTCATTTTCCAATCCATATTGAGCAAAGTCCATTGTTGATTATAAGACTCCTCAGGCTAGATTTTCAAAGGTTTTCAGGCTTCTAATGATGCAGAGCAATTTAGGATTTTCAAATTAAACATTGCAATTTAGGTGCCTGACCCTGATTGTTTCCAAAGTTAGGTTCCTAGGTTGCCTGGGCACATTTTAAAATGCCCATGGACATGTATCTGCATCATTAGGCATTTAAGTACCTTTGAAAATCTGACCTCTAGCCACAGGTGGCTGTTCTAAAGAATAAAGGCTTTTTGAAAGATGTTGTATAGGGTACTTTAGTGAAGTGTGGATTCCAATTTTTTTTCTTCTGTGGGGAGTTGGCGTGTGAGGAAGTACAGAATGAACACACACAGATAAGAAGAAGAACTCTCCAGAGATAGTAAGATATTCAGTACCCATAAGGAACTCATCACAGTGTGATTTGACATCTAGCATTCTGTGCTATAACCTGTAGCTAATCCCTATTATAAAAAATGCTGGATTCCAAACATTGAAGTCATAGAAGCTATGCCAGTTTACATCAGCTGAAGATCTGGCTCCCAGGGTTGTACTGTGGCAGAATTCATGAAAGTGCTCAACCATGCAAGAACTGCCAAAGACAGAAAAGCGGTATATTTGTATCTATATTCCATTTTCATGTGAATACTGTACAACTAAGAAGGGTTTTTTTTTAACATCATGAAGAACATAAACCTGAATTTAACCACGTGTGATGTACAAAAGCTGCTATCTTGTAAATTCTGACACATACAACCCTAAAAGTAATATAGAAAAATATACCTGACATTTTGCAAATCTGATATGCAGTTGACCATCAATATCACTTTCCAGAAGAACTGCATTAGGAAGCAGTCCTCTGCACAAACTATTACCTTTTCCTTCTGCTACTCTATTCTGATCATAACTCCTCATAGGTTAACATTGTTTACAGTTAAAATGCTCAGCAGACTCACAAAAGAAAAGCAATGGGTTTATCAGCAGGCTATTGGAATTTAACTTATGAGCTAAAAGATGACATGCATGCCTAGCCAGAGTAGTAGCTTATCATCAGAGGCGTGACTAGGGTTTTTCTGAGACACTGCCTCTGCGATGCCTCCAGTGCAGAGTGGGCTCAAGAATGGTTTGTGTTTCAGGTTGTAGACTCCAGGCTTGTCTCCATTTTTGATGCCAGAGAGCTAGAGTTGGTGATTGCAGGTACAGCAGAAATAGACCTCAATGACTGGCGTAACAACACAGAATATCGTGGAGGTAAGTTATCTATTGCTACTTAAAAAAACAATGAGGAGTCCTATGGCACCTTAAAGATTATCAGATTGATTTGGGCATAGGGTTTCATGGATAAAAAACACTTTGCCGATGCATTAGAGTGGAATTTTGGCTGAGTAGAGATTGCTGAATTTAGTCTATACTTTATTTATATTGAAGAATATGGGTAAAATCCTGGCCTTATCGAGACAATGTCAAAATTCCCTTAACTTCAATAGAGCCAAATTCTGTTTCTAGTTACATTACAACAAAGCGCAGTTAAATTTCCCAAGTCAAAATGTTTCTCTCCTTCATTCAATATCAGCACTAATCTCCCTGGTCTTACTAGTTGGGCTTACTTTGCTTTAAACAATGAACATAGTGTATGCAGGTAGTGATGAGTAATGAGCAAATGGGTTGTCTCCCCTCAGTCTCCCAGCTCTGAAAAAGAAAAGAAAACTCAGTGGAGTCGACATGTTCCGCCCCGCCAATAAATACAAGACACAAATTTTGGATGCTGGCTGCCCACCAACTCTTCTTACCTGTTTGTTGCTTAAGCACTGAGCCACTAGCCATAAACAAGGTCCTCTATAATTGTTTCCATGTTTAACTCTTCTACATACAGTGTTATCTCAGGTGGTTATATAAATATGATTATTAAACCAGATTGAACATAGGTTCATTCCAGCTTTCACTAGCATGATCTTAAGCCCAGAGCTCTTATGGTAGAAAGTCTTCCAGGGAAGAGCTTGCAACAGCCATTCCCTTACAGATGTTGGAGATCGGTGCAATCCAAAAATGGACTGTTACTGGCCCTTAAGTGGGTATGACCCTATGATGGGTTTGGACCCTATGATGGGTGCCACCAGATGTGCTGGGGTCCCACGGAGCACTCCTGCCCTACCAGACTGGGGCTACATCTAGACTGCAAGCTTCTTTCGGAAGAAGCTGTTCCAGAAGAGATCTTCCGGAAAAACTTTTTTCAAAAGAGAGTGTCTACACAGCAAAAGTGCAACGAAAAAGCAACATGCTTTTTCAAAGGATAGTGTCCACATTGATTGGACACTATCTTGCATTTCAATTGTGATTACTGTGGATGGAGTGGCCACCAGGGCACCTGTGCTTTTTCCTGGAGGCTTCTTCTTTTGAAAAAACATTCTCTTCCATGTCCACACACACCTTTTGCTGAAAAAGCTTTCTCAAAAAAGAAAGAAAGAAAGAAGTTTACCACTGTTGGAAAAACCCCTGTGCAGTGTAGACATACCCTGGATTTCCATTACACTGTGCAGCTGTCACAGGCTCTCAAGCCCCTTTTGAGCAAACACAGATAGGGAAACATGCAGCTGTATAATAACACAGAATCTCCAGTCAGCTCAGGGAATTACCCAGCCCTCTCCTATACTCTCTGGAGTGTAAACCCAGAATTATATTGGCATGTGCTTTGCAGAGATTTGTGTAGCCCAAGCACATGACATTCATCCCCTTCCTTAATATGGAGGGAGATAGGCACAAGTCTCATTCCCCCCTCACCTCCCTGCCCAACCTTTCTTGCTGTGAATTGCACCACCTGGATTATTGTATAAACAAGAGATAAGTTTATTAACTACAAAAGACAGATTTTAAGTGATTATTAAGTAAGAGCAAACAGATCAAAGAAGATTACCTTAGTATATAAACAAAACACACAGACTCAGCCTAGAATACTAGATAGGATATACATTAGCAAATTCTCACCCAAACAGATTGGCAGATTCTTAAGGCACAAGTTGCTTTGGCTTTTCCAGGTTTTCATACACAGTCTAAAAATCCTTTGAGCCTGGGACCCTCACTACTCACAGTTCAGTACTTGCTCCTCAGGTGTTTCCAGGTGTGTTGTTGTAGGGCGAATGAAATGTCCCCATGATATCATTGTTCCCCTTTTACATCTTCTTTCTACTTGCTGAAAAGCTCTTTACTGTGACTAGGGTCAAGCAGTTTCCATTGTATAGTGCTATAGCTGAGAGGTTTCTGTTGTATACAGTTCCTGGGGTAATCCTTGTGCTTGGGTGCATTTCCTCAATAAGCCAATAACAGTGTTTGGCCTTTTTGCTGTTGTACCTGAGAGCTTGTTTGTGGGTGTTTCAACCTCATAACTTGTTTCAGTAACACATACATAGCCAAACTTCATAACATCACATACAAAGATAACACGTATTAATGTCTAGCAGATCTAGACTTTTAAAATGATATCTCACAAGACATACTTTGTGCAAACATATCCTAATTACATGACGGTGCTGAATTTTGGCATGTGAGGGTTAATCCTTAAAGTGATTCAGACCTAGGAAGCAGGGAGCCTTCCTATTCACACTTCCCTATTTGGATCATTTATTTAATTTCTTTACCAGTCATATTACATTGTTTAAAAATACCACTGATTGTTATCTGCTGAAGATGTAATAATTTATCCAGTTTTACAGCCTTGGTTGTATCTGAGAATCAGAAATGTAACTTTTCTATAAAGCTGTCAGAGCCATACAGCATATCAACATTTGTCATTTCTATTTAATATGGATAGCCACAGTATTTGCTAAAATGTTTTGGGAAAGAGCTGCATATGAGTTATAAATGTGAGCTTTCCTGTAAATGGAATTTTGTCATTTCAAATGAGTTATCTATATTAAGTTATCCAGAACTGAGAAGACAAGAAGACTGAGACATAGTTCATCAATCATTAGATCAGTCCTTTGCCTGAGGTATTGTAGCAAGAAAAAGCTATCAGCTCACATTTCTTTTTGTGGAAATGTATTAAAACAGTACATCATCAAATCCAGTTCTCACTTAATTTGTATGTTCCTAATCTCTCTCTCTCTCTCTCTCTCTCTCTCTCTCTGTGTCTCTCTCAGGTTACCATGATGGGCATATTGTCATACGGTGGTTCTGGGCAGCAGTGGAGAGATTTAACAATGAACAGAGACTACGGTTACTGCAGTTTGTCACTGGAACATCTAGTGTACCATATGAGGGTTTTGCAGCCCTTCGAGGGAGCAATGGGTTACGGCGTTTCTGTATAGAAAAATGGGGGAAAATAACATCTCTTCCTAGGTATGTCTGTATTATGAATAAAATCTTAAATGCTGTGGGGAAGATGAAACACAACACTTCATTTCAGTGTTTCTGGCAATTAGTTACGGTGTATACAAAAGCAACAACAGACAAGTCTCAGATCATCATGACACAGCATTGAACCCCCAATTGCACTCAGTGAAGGCTGATTTCTGCCTTAAGTTTGTCCACTGACGGACTTGCTCTCCCTTGAAGAAGCCTTCTCTCCAGGTGAGAGCTGTAGAACCATCTAGAACTTTCTGAGCTCTGTGATCCAGAAAAGTAAAGCAACCATGTCTGATGGTGCAGGAATCCTACTTTGTTTATCATGAATTATCTTTATTATTTAATAAGTGTAGGGTTGTTGTTGAGTGCACATAGCAGTCAGAAATATATGAGAGACCTGGTCCAAAATGCCAAAACCTAGACACTGAAAATTAAACTCCTAAGTATACATTTACTTGAAGTTTTTATTTAGATGCCTAATTATGTATTTGTTCAGAGAGGCATATGACCTTATCCGTTAAGCACTCAGGACATAGTTTAAAAATGCAGACGATGTGCATCAATTTAAACTAACTCACTAAATTCTCCTCCCTCAAACAACTCACTTATTCCCCTTCCACTATTTTCTTACGCATGGGGAAAATAATGACCCTTTCCATCTGTCCTTGAACTAATCAAATTAGGTCAGTTAGGTGTTCAAATATGGATTTAGGATCGTAAGTTTGTCTTGAGCTCTTTCATGAACTTAATAAGATTCTGAGGCTCCAGTCCCCCAGAAGTTATGACTATTTCTTGTGCCATAGAAATCTACATAAGGTTACATAAACCTCCAGTTTGCATCTTCATCTGGGCCTGGCACAGAGATGCATGTGGGGTTGCTGAGATTTAATTGTTAGTTCTGGTCTGAATATTTTCACGTTTTACAAAGTATCAAGAAAAGTTCTAAATATTTTGCAAGAACTCAGGGCCTCTTCTTTGATTTCTTCTTCATTCTCCTGATAGCGGTTTTAAATGTGTGACTCTCCCTTACATATTGGCCTTATTCTTTAGTGATGCAGTGTGTAATTGCACCTGTTTTGTTTATCAGTGAACACACATGTGGTAATGCCCAGGACTTGCCACAAATAGGCAGCATTCTCAGCAAAATCATGTGATGTGAATTTCTGAGATGCAATGATACTTGCCATAGTACTATCTTTAATATGGAGCACTCACAGTATGGCTTTCTGGAAAAAAGTGTAGCTGCAGCAACAGGAGGGGGCTTAAGTATATACCAAAGGGACGATATATGCTGAAAACTTACATCAACTTAGCTATTTCTCTCAGCGATGTGAAAAATCCTCCCTCTCCTCCAGAAGACATGGTTACTCAGATCTGACTGCTAGTGCAGGCAGTGCTAAGCTGATAGAAAAATTCTTCCATCAACCACCTGTTGCCTGTTGGGGAGGTGGATTAATTACAGCTATGGGAAAACCTCTCCCATAACTGCAGGGAGAACCTGCTAAGGAAGCAAAGCTGCAGCACTGCAGCTGTGCCTCTCTAGCAATTTTAAGTATAGACACAGCCTAGCATTGTGGACAGGATTGTATTCAGGGTGCCTAGCCTCTCACATCATCATAGCAACACTTCTGTTTTAGCGCAGTACTCAATTAGAGCTAGTTTGGCTATGTACCCTCAAGCTGGGAATTACAGCTTCCAGTTCCAAATATAGACATATCAACAAAATCAGGCTCACTGATGGGGATGGTGGAGGCAAATGGGGCACTTGTCCCGGGTCCCGGAAATTCAAAGGGGCCCAGGGCTCCCAGCCACCACTACTGCTACTACAGCAACAGCAGCCCCAAGCCCATTAAATCACTGCCAGGACGGCTCTGAAGGCTGGGGGTAGTGCCAGTGATACACTCTGGGCAGCACAGAGGTATGGCTGCCCCACCCTGCCCCTTTTACCCAAGGCCTTGCCCCTTTCTGGGAGCATGAAAGGGGGCTCCCTTGCTCAGGGATCCGTGGAGGCTGTCAACTCCCCTGTCAACAGTAGTCAGGACTTCAGAATGGTTTAGGAGATTTGGACTCCAGCAGCTTTATGTTAATCTCACTTATGCTGGTGTGAATCAGGGATAAATCCACTGAAGTCAGCAGAGTAACACTGGTGCAAAACACTGGCATAAGGAATATCAGACCCAACGTGGATTATTTCCATTCTGCATGGGAAAAGGGACATTATTTTATTCTAGTCTACATTTATGTAGCTTGGGTACATATTAGAGATGTGGAAGGTTAACCGGTTAACCTAAATGGGTAATGGTTACCAGTTCCATTTAAACAATAACCGGTGGGGGCTGGAGCAGCTCTCTGCGTACCACAGTAGGGGGCAGCTCCAACCTCACAGTGCTTCTCTGGAGCTGCCTCTGTCCGTGCGGAGTCTGGGGACCCCACAGGCAGGGCTGCTCCAGCAGGGACTAGGAGCTGGGAGCCAGTGGCAGCCCCATTCCCAGTGCAGGGCTGGGAAGCAGCACCCAGCTGCAGTACAGGACTGGGGACAAGAGCCCCACAAGCTGGGGATTGTTCCAGCCGGGCTTAAAGCAGTCCCCACCTTGGCTCCTGCTTAGTTGGTTAACCAGTTAAATATTAGGTCAACCTAACCTTGACAAAGCCCTGGCTGGGTTGATTTAGTTGGCATTGGACCTGCCTTGGGCAGGGGGCTGGACTTGATGACCTCCTGAGGTCTCTTCCAGCTCTGTGTTTCTATGAGCGTTTAACTGATTTACTGATTAACTGGGATTTTACATCCCTAGTATACATTAGAATAAAGGCAGCCAAAGCAGAAAACAAATCAGAGTCATTCTCTACTCCCAGACCACAAGAACGTGACTCTGCAACAGTATCCCATCAGAGTATGCCTAACTCCTACAAGACTTTGCCAATGTAAAACTATGGTTTGTTTTTCCTCCAGACTGCTGTAGCGAATCAAATGAGATACCATAAACTAGGTAACAGAGTCCAAGCACTTAATATTATTTACATTGGTTTCTGTTCTTCAGCCTCAGATTTACTCTCCCTGTTTAATATGGAAGACTTCCCTTTGAAATGCAGCAGTTATACATTGATTTCCAGTGCTTCGTTTTCAGTAACAGTTCCCCATGAGGAAGAATCGTTCTGCTGTTCGGGTTAATAGCTGGATGAAGATCTGAGAAAACTACTTGCCATCTATAGTCTTGTTGAAACAGGGGAAGCTCTTATCCTGTGTTATGCAGATTTTTGGCCCTCGGCCAATTCCCTCCTCGGTCTCACAAGAATTTGACCTTAATTCCCCCACCATACTTCAATGAATAGCAAAAATTAACTTCTAATATCAAACTATATAGTTGTTTAAAACTCAAGAAACATAATTTCACCTGAAATGTATGCACAAAGGGAGCATCTACAAGCACCCTAAATTCGAAATGATACACAATTTGCATAGCACAAATTGTGTATCTTATTTTGATTCTATTTGGAAATAGCTTATTTTGAAATTTGGCGCATCTACACAGCACCAAATTTTGAAATAATGCACTATTTCAGGACATCCTTTAACTCTCGTGGAACGAGGGTTACAGGGATGCCAAAGTAGCACGCTTGTTATTTCAAAAAATATTTCAAAATAACAGGCGGCTTGTTAAGACGTGGGTTAGCTATTTCAGGATACTTCTGGTATCCTGAAATAGCCACGCAGTATAGACATACTCAAAGAGAGGGAAGAGCTTTCTGCTACAACTGCCTGCTAAGAGCTTTATCCTGAAAAGTGCCAAACATCCACACCTTCAGTTGGGGCACACCCTGAAATCCTTACTCTGTTTCTCTTTCACAGTAAGGCAAAACAGTCATTGGACTGAAAGAGAATTCTGCCAAAGTAAGAATCAAATAAGGACCTCAGAGTTTGGCCGGGTGATTTCAATAAGAATTGCAAATACTTTGCACGTGACAAAATCAGAAATTTTGCTTTGTCTGTCAAAACAGAGATTTAGCTGACTTTTCCTTGAGAGTGTCTTTAGTTCTACGAAGTAATTTATAAGTACATGCATATTGTCTGCAATTAGAATAAGCTGATTCTCAGTAAATATTTGATATTCATAAATCATCCCTGTAGGTCTTAAGATATTTATTAGGCACCTATAATCATAATATCTAAAACAGCCATAAAACATTTAAGAAGCCTTTGGTGTTCAAATAACAAGCTATGAACCCATCATTTCCCCCTTTCCTATACATGTATTTGTTCATTTCACTAGTTTTGTTATTTTTTTAAAAATCCTTTGTTTTTCTCCTACTCCTCCACTCTCTTTCATTCTTGAGTCCCTTTCTCCCCCCTATTTGCCCTATTACATTTCAGTCTGACAGCAATGATTATGGGATATAATATAATTCTATTCAAAGAATAGTTCCTATATTATTATGCTTTATATTCTCATTATGTGTATGTTTGGCAAAATTTCATGCTGACAATAAAATGTTACTAGGACAGACAAATATCCAAGGCACAGATGGATTCAGATATAAGTGGCCATTGGAAAACAGACCCTCCCATAAAAGAAGCATAAACCATTTTTGTTGAAGAAAGTAACCTTAAATCTTCATGTCACTTTTTAAGCAAAAAATTCCAAAGAGGAGCTATTGAATGTTTCCTTCAAATGAGGAACAAAACTGGATATTTGTATGGAAGATCTAAGAGATTTGAAGATTGTGGCTGGGATTTAGTACCTTTCCCTTCCCCTTCCCTTTCCTTCCCCCCTCCCCTCCCACACACACAAAGAATAAATAAAGTGAGAGAAACAAGTGGCCCATTTCTGTTTGCCTCTCACAGTTATGTCAGAAAGCAAGCCTAATTGCAGCTGACAGGTTAGATCTCTTACTAGACAGTGGAGGGTTGTGTGTGCATTTGCTGCTTTTGGACTGTCGGCCTTATAAGGATTAAGGGAAGTGGCAAAAGAAGAAGAATGCCAAGAGCTTAAAAGCTT